GGGGTTGTTTTTCAGGGGTTGGGTTGGGCTTGGCCCCCTTGTTCCAGTGAAGGAAACTATTAAGGCATCAACATACCAGGTTTTGGACAATTTCATGCTCCCAACTTTGTGGGAAGAGTTTGGGGATGGCCCCTTCCTGTTCCTACATGACTGCACACCAGTGCACAAAGCAAGGTCCATAAAGACATGGAGGAGCCAGTTTGGGGTGGAGGAACATGACTGTCCTGCACAGAGTCCTGACCTCAACCCCATAGAACACCTTTGGGATGAATTAGAACGGAGAAATCAAGCCAGGCCTCCTCCCCCGACATCAGTGCCTGACCTGACAAATGTGCTTCTGGAAGAATGGTCCAACCTTCCCATAGACACCCTCCTAAACCTTGTGGACGGCCTTCCCAGAAGAGGTGAAGCTGTTATATCTGCAAAGGGCGGAGCCAACTCAATATTGAACCCTACGGACTAAGACTGGGGGGCCATTAAAGTTCATGTGCGTGTGAAGGCCGGCCGACCAATACTTATGGCAATATAGTGTATGTGTGGGCTGCTATTGCTGACCGGCTTTCAGGAATGCTAGCTCTCTGGCTTCTGTATGAGCTTCAGAGCAAGCATGTAGCAAGTGATGTCAAACCACTTTATCGAGATCACAGAGTCTGAATGAATAGAAATCTCCTCAGTACAACAAAAAAAGATAGGGATTTTACCGCATCCCTACTCTATTCCACATGAAAAGAAACACGTTAGCTTTAGATACACTTTAACAACAGCAGCAGAAATCTGACAACATACATAGCCAGGTAAATAGGAACTCTAATTCTACAATAAAGGCCCCGGGACACTTCTGGAAGGCTCAAAGCAGCACTAAAGAGGTGAATGTCAACAAACATGTCAAGATTAAAATATGAGAAGTGTTCCATTTCAGCTTTATACATTGATATATCTTCTTAGACCCAATCTGTTTGAACAGTATGGTGACCTGCTGACAAGGCAACATCCACAGGCAGCCTAACTCTTCATAAAATATTGGACAATGTAATCCAATTCAATTTTACTGCCGATAAGTTCGGTACAATGTTTTTCCAGTCTTCTGAAGTGGACCATGACTAACCTAAGTCTCTGACTCAGGGAACAGGCAGGAAACAGGGGCTGAACTAACTAGCACTAAGCAGGAGGGGAGGACAATGAAGATATCAGATTGCATTAGTAAACAAGCTGTAGTGGCCCCAAACCACCACTAGACTTCAAGAGACTGGAAAAACATTGCATCAAAATGTATTGGGTTACTAATGTTCTGGTGTATTCTGAAGTCTAGTGGTGGTTTGGGGCCACTACAGCTTGTTTACTAATGCAATCTGATATCTTCATTGTCCTCCCCTCCTGCTTAGTGCTAGTTAGTTCAGCCCGTTTCCTCCCTGTTCCCTGAGTCAGCGACTTAGGTTAGTCATGGTCTTCATATACTTCAAAAGACTGGAAAAAGATTTCATCAAAATGTATTGGGTTACCATTGTTCTGGTGTATTCTGAAGTATATGAAGACCATGACTAACCTAAGTTGCTGACTCAGGGAACAGGGAGGAAACAGGCTGAACTAACTAGCACTAAGCAGGAGGGGAGGACAATGAAGATGTCAGATTGCATTGGTAAACAAGCTGTAGTGGCCCTAAACCACCACTAGGCTTCGGAATACACCAGAACAATAGTAACCTGATCAGGGGCCCCATGAGATGCCCCTGGTACCTTTTTCATAGGGTTTTTTGAGTTTGGGCAAGGACACAGGGGCCCCATGATCCCTTATTGCCCGGGGGCCCCATGAGTTGTCAGTCTGCCCCTGTTACTAAGTAACAAACTTTTTACTGGCTCCATGCTTGTTCTGCGTCAATAATTGCTAAGCAGGATGACAACCACAGGGCTAGTATCTGCAAAAAAAGTCATCAGTGGTCCATTTACAGTACATGTAAACTCAATCACCAAAATCTTACATTCTCCAACATGGAAGTGTCATTTTCAATATAATAAAATGTGCAGCTTCCAATGAAATAATACCCAGTGATGTTCCGTCATCAGGCACTTCCTGTTATAGGGTGACAACCCTCTGTCCCTGACCACAAATTGTGTTCCTGCGTTGTCACCCTGTTACTCGGGCTCCTTGTGGAGTTTCAACACACATTACACAGCCATGATCACCATCAGAAAACCAAATCTGATTGCTGGAGAGCATATCGGTGGGAAGTAGCTGCAAAAAGTATCTTATTAAAAAAAAAAGAAGAAATGGCAATTCATTATGTACCGTGCTTTGCCTTCAGCACATTGAATGTCATTCATTTAGGGTTTACTTCTACATGAACGGAAGGGCATTCTGGCTGTCAGCTCTCCGGCCCTGCTTGTGGTTTTGTCGTTTTTTTCCCCTGTAGGTTCACTGTAATGGTGTCCTGTGGGAATAGATGGGGCACTTGAAACTCTTAGCAAACCGAAGGAAATGGAAAGCGAGTTTACTGATGGCAAACAGACCCAGAATTGTATTTGTTAGTCCAGCAATTTCCTGAAGCCAAACACTCTGATTCACTTGTGTGAATGTCTGTTGTCTGTTACAATGGCCGTCTGTGCCGAAACACACTGAAAATAAAGATCACCTTCATAGATCGGTTTATAAAGGGTCACCCCACCCAGAACCAGGATTCAGATATGAGTGGATGCTGACACCACTCCCGGCATCTGTATGATCATGCATGCACAGCGCAGTGTACACTCCCGGCATCTGTATGAAGGAGCATGCTCAGAGCAGTGTACACTCCCGGCATCTGTATGATCATGCATGCACAGTGTACACTCCCGGCATCTGTATGAAGGAGCATGCACAGCGCAGTGTACACTCCCGGCATCTGTATGAAGGAGCATGCTCAGTGCAGTGTACACTCCCGGCATCTGTATGATCATGCATGCACAGTGTACCCTCCTGGCATCTGTATGATCATGCATGCACAGTGTACACTCCCGGCATCTGTATGAAGGAGCATGCACAGCGCAGTGTACACTCCCGGCATCTGTATGAAGGAGCATGCACAGCGCAGTGTACACTCCCAGCATCTGTATGATGGAGCATGCACAGCGCAGTGTACCCTCCTGGCATCTGTATGATCATGCATGCACAGCGTACACTCCCGGCATCTGTATGATGGAGCATGCTCAGTGCAGTGTACCCTCCTGGCATCTGTATGATCATGTATGCACAGAGTTCACTCCCGGCATCTGTATGATGGAGCATGCTCAGCGCAGTGTACACTCCCGGCATCTATAAGACGGTGCATGAACAGTGCAGTGTACACTCCCGGCATCTGTAGGATCATGCATGCTCAGCGCAGTGTACACTCCCGGCATCTGTAGGATCATGCATGCTCAGCGCAGTGTACACTCCCGGCATCTGTAGGATCATGCATGCTCAGCGCAGTGTACACTCCCGGCATCTGTAGGATCATGCATGCTCAGCGCAGTGTACACTCCCGGCATCTGTAGGATCATGCATGCTCAGCGCAGTGTACACTCCCGGCATCTGTAGGATCATGCATGCTCAGCGCAGTGTACACTCCCGGCATCTGTAGGATCATGCATGCTCAGCGCAGTGTACACTCCCGGCATCTGTATGATGTAGCATGCTCAGTGCAGTGTACACTCCTGGCATCTGTATGATGTAGCATGCTCAGCGCAGTGTACACTCCCGGCATCTGTAGGATCATGCATGCTCAGCGCAGTGTACACTCCCGGCATCTGTATGATGTAGCATGCTCAGTGCAGTGTACACTCCTGGCATCTGTATGATGTAGCATGCTCAGTGCAGTGTACACTCCCGGCATCTGTAGGATCATGCATGCTCAGCGCAGTGTACACTCCCGGCATCTGTAGGATCATGCATGCTCAGCGCAGTGTACACTCCCGGCATCTGTAGGATCATGCATGCTCAGCGCAGTGTACACTCCCGGCATCTGTAGGATCATGCATGCTCAGCGCAGTGTACACTCCCGGCATCTGTAGGATCATGCATGCTCAGCGCAGTGTACACTCCCGGATCTGTAGGATCATGCATGCTCAGCGCAGTGTACACTCCCGGCATCTGTATGATGTAGCATGCACAGTGCAGTGTACACTCCTGGCATCTGTATGATGTAGCATGCTCAGTGCAGTGTACACTCCTGGCATCTGTATGATGTAGCATGCTCAGTGCAGTGTACACTCCTGGCATCTGTATGATGTAGCATGCTCAGTGCAGTGTACACTCCTGGCATCTATCTCCTTATCCCTTTCCTCCCTGTCAACATGCTAATGACATCTATAAATATCTATCATTGCACAAATTCATTTTAAACCCAGTGATGTCATTACCAAGTCTCTGTGCTTCTGTATGCAACTCAGGCAGATCATGGCTGGTGAGAGGGGCTGCTGTACATAGCTTCCTGATAACATCACAGTACCCTGCCCCAGTACTCCTCTCTAGAGATCTCAGCCCTGATACAAGCAGTGGGCTATATCAAAATGCCTTCTTTGGTGGGTGTCAGTCTGGAGGAGCGGACAATCCAATTTGTGATGCTGAGCCTCCATGACTGGAAGAACTGAAATTCAATGAATGAACGGGGCGGGCCAGGGAGGAAAGTACTAGATGATGCTGGATGTCCCCCAGCCAGGAACTGAGGTGGGTTCCATCTGACTTGCTTTTGATTCACATAGTGAGAAGCTCACAGTGTGCAGTGCAATCAGAGTGATTTCAGTACGGGGGAGGAGCCGGTACAAGTGTGCAAGACTGAAGGGAAGGCAGAGTTCAGTGTGTTCTGTAGGGATGTCTCAGGTCCTGGCTGTTCTGTCTGGCAGGGGGGCCTCGATTACAGGACTGGCTGAACAGAAGAACACTTTTTTGGCAGGTAGGATCGTTCCTCTATATGTCCATCACTTCAGCTGCATTGCCAGGAGTTCAGCTGTAACAAAGAAATCCATCCCTCAGGAGCAGACTGATAACTCATGGGGCCCCCCGGGCAATAGGGGATCATGGGGCCCCTGTGTCCTCACCCACACTCAAACCACACCCAAAAAAGCCTATGAAAAGGTACCAGGGGCATTTCATGGGGCCCCCTTCTGACCTCGGGCCTGGGGCAATGCCCGAGTGCTCGAATGGTCAGTCCGCCCCTGCCATCCTTGCATTCCATACGCATGTTGGCTGTAGATGTAGAACTGGAACACCAAATGTTGTTTTTCTCCAGGCCTGGCACGGCGGGTTCGTACAACGCAGAGTGATAGGACTGACATGCAGAATGTGTGGCTGCAGCTTTGTGTTCTGCAGGATTTGCTGGAAATCTTTGTTGCCTTTACAAAGAACGCCAACACATTCGTCATTCCAGCAGCAGATGAGGGCTGAATATACCATTTATATATTATTACGCTGGATTGCCTCATACCAGCATGACAAACAGCCTGATTTCACTGTGGAATCACTGTCACAGCAACATTATACAGCCCACATTTATGTCAAATGGATCTTTTTATTATAATTCGTATTTTTATCATTATTAGCATTATTATTAATTTCCATTATTATTTTATTATTATTTTCATCGTTATTTTTATTATATGAATTATTTTTTTGTAGAATTATTTTGTATTATTATTAGCGTTCTTTTTATTTGCAATATTATGATTTGCATTATTGTTATTTTTTATTATTAGAATTATTTAGCATTATTATTATTTGCATTATTGTTTATTATTGTTTGCATTTTTATTATTTTGTATTATTTGCATTATTGTTATTTTTATTTGCATTATTATTATTTCCATTATTTTTTGCATTTTCATTATTTCCATTATTTTTTGCATATTTATTATTTGCATTATTATTTGCATTATTGTTATTTTTTATTATTAGAATTATTAGCATTATTATTATTTGCATTATTGTTTATTATTGTTTGCATTTTTATTATTTTGTATTATTTGCATTATTGTTATTTTTATTTGCATTATTATTATTTCCATTATTTTTTGCATTTTTATTATTTCCATTATTTTTTGCATATTTATTTTTTGCATTATTATTTGCATTATTGTTTTTTTTTATTATTAGAATTATTAGCATTATTATTATTTGCATTATTGTTTATTATTGTTTGCATTTTTATTATTTTGTATTATTTGCATTATTGTTATTTTTATTTGCATTATTATTATTTCCATTATTTTTTGCATTTTTATTATTTCCATTATTTTTTGCATATTTATTATTTGCATTATTATTTGCATTATTGTTATTTTTATTATTTGCATTTTTTATTATTTTGTATTATTTGCATTATTGTAATTATTTGCATTATTGTTATTTTCATTTATTATTATATGCATTTCTATTTTGTATTATGTTTTTTGTATTATTATTATTTGCATTATTGTTATTTTGTATTATTTTTTGCATTTTTTTAAATTATTATTAGCATTATTATTTATTATTATGGTTTGCATTTTTGTTATTATTTTCACTATTGTTATTATTTTTATTTATTTTTATTACTATATCCTCACCATCACTAATCCAAGAAACGGTGGAAGCAAGGCGCTGGAAACAAGTTTTCAATAGTTAAGCAAAGTCCCAATGGCTTTAGTTTGGCAGCTCAACACACAACAGGGGGGTCCCTTGGGAAGTGGGGGGTCATCCAGATTGAGAGTCAACATGCAGAGAGAACAAGAAGAGCGCCAAACAAAATATCTGAGTGTCTGAAATCTTGATAGGATTAAATCCGTTCACTGCAGATAGTATAAAACATGGAACAGAAGATCAGGCCTTGCGGCAGTGTTGCCGACCTCCTGCAGCATTTTTACTGACAAAACATAGTAAAATTTACTGACGGAGCACATTTTTTACTGACAACCTAAAAAATGACATTAAATACACTGCACTGTAGATGCACCATGTAACACGTTGGGAGTTTACACTGCACTGTAGATGCACCATGTAACAGATACCAGGAGGGTACACTGCCTTGTGCACCATGTAACAGATACCAGGAGGACACCATGTAACAGATACCAGGAGGGCACCATGTAACAGATACCAGGAGGGCACCATGTAACAGATACCAGGAGGGCACCATGTAACAGATACCAGGAGGGCACCATGTAACAGATACCAGGAGGGCACCATGTAACAGATACCAGGAGGGTACACTGCTCATGAATCATCCAACAGATGCTGGGTGTGTACACTGCACTGTGCATTCACCATCTTGCAGATACCAGGAAGGTACACCAACTGTAGATGCACTAACAGATAGGATACACTGCTCACGCACCATTCAACAGATGCTGATAGTGTACACTGCACTGTCCATTCATCATCTTGCAGATACCAAGTACACAGCGCATGCACCATCATACAGATGCCGGGAGTGTACACTGCACTGTGCATGCTCCATCATACAGATGCCGAGAGTGTACCCTGCTCTGTGCATGCTCCATAATACAGATGCCGGGAGTGTACACTGCACTGTGCATTCATCATCTTGCAGATACCAAGTACACAGCGCATGCACCATCATACAGATGCCGGGAGTGTACACTGCACTGTGCATGCTCCATCATACAGATGCCGAGAGTGTACCCTGCTCTGTGCATGCTCCATAATACAGATGCCAGGAGTGTACACTGCACTGTGCATGCTTTATCATACAGATGCCGGAAGTGTACACTGCACTGTGCATGTACCATCTTGTAGATGCCGGGAGTGTACACTGCACTGAGCATGCTCCATCATACAGATGCCGAGAGTGTACACTGCACTGTGCATGCTCCATCATACAGATGCCGAGAGTGTGCACTGCACTGAGCATGCTCCATCATACAGATGCCGGGAATGTACACTGCACTGTGCATGCTCCATCATACAGATGCCGGGAGGGTACACTGCAAATGCTATCAATTCAGACTGATTATTATTATACAGGATTTATGGTCACTTCATTTTTTCGCTGGAAGACATTCAGCATCACCTAGTGCTTTCCTCCCCAGAGTAGACAGGTCCAGGAGCAAGCCGAGTCGGTAACAGGAAATCACAGGAACAGGGCACGGGGAGCTAGAGATCATCCAGCAACTTGAGGAAGTGATGAGCCTCCTTATAAAAGGCAGTCTGGCACCAAACTGAGGCTGTGTGCTTCTATGGCCATGCAGAGTACTGGCAGAAATACCAGATCTTCCAGAACCTCTGCGGTGGACAGGACCCTGACAGTTGCATTCCATCTCCTGTAGTAACTGGAGCGGAATTGATTTGCAGAGCTCCCCATCCTGTACAGAGGCACGGAAGTTCGAGGGTTAAAGTCAAGTGCATGATGAAGCCCATGCTATGTGCACGGTGGGGGGGTTCCATGCTGCTAATGGTGACCGGTAGTAGGAAACACGGACAGGTGGTTTTGGTCAATGTTCGGCATGACCCACCGAATTGCAAGCTACAGTGAGAAGATATACATTTACACGGAGACCCAAGAGTTAACTGGGGAACAGTTGTATGCAATTGCATATGGTGTACGTTCATCTCCAATAGTAGAGACTCGCCTTAAGGCCGAGTATTCCCTGATGGCTACCTCAGCCTTGTCCCAGGGCATTGATGAAAACGGCCCGAGAGTAGAAGGTACCGCATACAGTATGTGTGAAGTAGAGAGAGAGACCCTGTACAAGGTGCCTGGCATAGCTCAGAAGAACCCTCCCCAGGGTAGGCCTCTCATTGATCCTTGCTTGGCGCCCAACGAGATGAAACATGGAGGAGGTGACAAACAACTACTACTACCCTACAAACCTATTAAGTCTTAAAAATTCTCCAAGAACTTAAAGTTCCCAGAGCCCTGGAGCGCAACCTGTGGCCCAGGTGCCATATCTGGTCCTTTGGTAACCCCAAAAGTCAGTAGTGGGATCGAATTGTAAAGATATTTCAATGGCAGTGATCTCGATTGGTCTCTTGTAACATGTTCCAGGACCCTGTCCTGCACCATGAGGGGTATTCAATACGGCACTAGTGACTTTTTGGCAGCATGGCCCCTTTACAATGGCCTGCATCTAATTCAGGCAGTTTTACAAAGCTTTTCAACACCTACAGGCAGTTTTTATTTCCGCCATTTTTTTAAAACAAATATTTCCACCATTTTTAGAATCTGTTCTGGCTACAATAAATTTTGAAAAGAATTACTGCCAGTTCCCATCCGCTGAAAGTAAACAAAAAGGCAGGGATGCTGGTGGCATCATTAGCCAAATATGCCAATGGCCCTAATTGGGCAATGACATCCCTAGGACTCTTGCCCTTTTGTTTACTTTCAGTTGTTAGCAGGGAATCCCCTGCCTGGAAGGTGAATGGAGCTGGGGATAAATAATTTATTGCTATGATGCTGTCAACTGCATGGCTGATGGCTTTTAGCTAGCAGGGGGCTGACCGTGCACTGTGGATGGAAGGGTCCGCCTTATGGACACCCCAGGCTCAGTGCTGCCCCCCTCCATGTGACAGATTCATGTACCTGACAGATCCAAGAATGTCACCTGCAATGACATTTGTGGAGCAGAGGAGCAATGGAATGCTAAAGAGTGCTGTGATCTTGGGGCTCAGTAGTGGGAACCAATCTAATGAGTCCATGTCAGTCTGAACTGTGGCTTAAAGTGGAGTTCCACCCAAAAGGGGAAGTTGCGCTTTAAAGATTGGTCCCCCCGCTCCCCATTAAGGATTGGCACCTTTGGGGAGCGGGGGGGGGGGGGGGGGGGGAGAATGGGTACCCAAATTTGACAGGTACCCGCTCCCACTTCCGCTGCGATTGCATAGGAAGCGGAAGTTGTCCTCCTACCCTCCCTCCCGCAGTCTTGTGGGACACGTGACAGGTCCCAGGAGACGCCGGGACCATTCAGGAAGCGCAGAGCTACTCGCGCATGAGCAGTAGGCACCCGGCTGTGAAGCCGCAAGCTGTCACATCCGGGTGCCCACACTGAAGATGCCGCCACCAGGAATACAGGACAGCCGGTGAAACAGGCTGTGGCGGGGGCACCGCGGGATCGTAGGACAAGTGAGTGGCTGTTTTTTGTAAAAGTCAGCAGCTACAGTTTTTGTAGCTGCTGACTTATTTTTTTACAGAGTGAGTGGAACTCCACTTTAAGGGATTCCTGGCCCACTTTTACCAAAGAAAAAGTCCAAAGT